GAATTAGGATAAACTACGTACTTTTTACTCGTACCGGCGGTACAAGTAACGAAAGTAAAAGTACTGCCTTATATGGTACATACTGTTTGGCGTGCACACATCGCTCATGGGCGTTACTTAGTAGGCGTTACTTTACATAGCATTTCAAAGCTAAATGCCATTAATAAGTGCATCAGTTCTTTTGGCGGAATCCCGATTTTAAAAATGAGTTTCTTAGCATTGAAATACGCTAAATAAAAAAAATAAAAAAATAATTCCTACTTAGAAAATATTTTAGATGAAGAGTGATTTTTTTTAAATATTTCTTTTAATCAATAACAGTCTTACAGTGCCATTTGTTCTTCAAGAAGAGATTTATATTTTAACTTATTAAATTCTAAAGACGTTTGTGAAATGGGGTACAAATTCCAAATAAAATGATGATGTAGAAAATGTTATTAAAGTTTTATAATTAAATGATGCATTGATGCATTTAAAGAAATACTCAAAGTAGAAATTAAATATTTGCCATAAATAAATCTAACAGTTTCATTTAAAAAAAAATTAAAATTTTTGCAAGTATTTGACTTTACTTTATTCGGATGGGCGAATTTGAAATTAGTTTCGTTCAGAAAGCTAAAGATTTTTCAAAATAATATTTTTTGTTTTTGTTTGAATGTACTGCAATAGCTTATATGTTCTTGTTAATTAAGAACACATAGGTTTATGTACATAAACATACACTAGTTCCTTCGTTTGAAAATAGCACGTAAGACAAAAAACACAGGTCCTTAACATATCGCATCATAAATTGAAATGTATTATCAGCCGATTACAGATTTGAAATCAGCGTTGCGAAAAATATCTAAGATCCGTTTGAAAATTAAAAATCACATGCAACAGAAGAAGATAAAATTGTTCTCCAGTGTAATCGATCCAAGTAAGATCGGTCAAGCAAGGCTGTGTATATTTTAACCAATGCTCCATATTGGATGGCAAAGTTTCAATAACTATATGAACGCTACAATCGGGAAATTTGCAGTCAAACAGAACTTAGAGACTTGGACCACTTTCCAACTATCTAGTAAGTTCATATTTAAACTAAAGACAATACAATTTAAAATTGTTTCTTAAATGATCCATCAAAATTTATCTAACAGTTTTTGACAAAAGAAACAACTCTGAAGAACTTTATTTTTGGTGTAATGAGAAAATTTCGAAGAAATTTAAATTTCGATTAAAGCTTAATTCTATTCGGTGATATAAGTTATGATCATAGCAAAACAAAGTACTAATATTGTTTTTCTTAAAAAAAATTATGCGCTTTATAACTGTATTCCGGTGTTCCAAAAAGGGCATCCAAAATATAAATTAAAAATCTGCGCAAAACCTTTATA